TGATCGTGCTATCTCTGTAATCTTACGATACTCGGATATATTAACACACAAGGGGTAGTATTGGTAATCGCACTTTGTGCTTTCATTAGTTGGTTTCCCCTTAAAGTTTTATTACAAGCCGCACAGTTTACTTAAGGTGGCACAAGTCGCGGGCTCGAACTCGCTGGTGGGCGCGGCGAAAAAGCACGCTGTCTCACCTGGCATCGTGCCCGACAGAGATAGTATCAGTGATGAGCATATCGACACTAGTATTCACGCATGTCTTGTTCGTACGGCATTCAGAACCGTTTGAACAAAAACGAAGTTACACGAACACGATGCAACATCTATACTAATATAATAAAGCAGAAAATATAGATCTTTACTCCGTCTAAAAAAAGTCCGCGATACCATATGTCTATTTTTTATATATAAGCTACAATTAGGCATTTTGATTTTGACAAAAAAAATGAAAATTTAATTATTAGGCATGACATATTTATCCTTACGAACGAAAGTTACTTCATTATCAAGACAATTTTTTGAAGATAAAGTTCGTTCTTTATACCATGTTTATATAGTACATAGGTTAAGAGATAATGTAAAATTAAAATAATTCAATACTTGGCCTTGACGCGCAAACAACGCATAACCCCTAGCCTAGCCCGGTGCGAACTGAGAAGCCAGTATTGAAAGCTTCTATGAGCGAGGTTAGGTTAGCCGTTAGTTCAATCATTATCTATATCTACACAAATAAATAAAATTGAAGTGTCTGTTTGTAATGTCAAAATAACAGCTTTTTACTAATTGCATATGAAATTATATACGCTACTTATAACATTAACATAATTTTTAACATTTTTGTATGTCTGTCAGTCTGTTTGTTCCGGTTAATTTCCAAAACGGCTGGACCGATTTTGACGGGACTTTCACTAGTAGATAGCTCATGTTATAAGAAGTAACTTAGACTGCTTAAATTTTAGAAAAATTATTAGGTGTCCGTACAACAAAATTAACACCCTAAACAAAATGCGGACGAAGTCGCGGGGAACAGTTGGTAGCTAAAATAAATTCAAAATTAACTGAGTGCTTTTATCTATCTCCCAGGTGAGCGTAACAATGATTAGTTACATCTTTATTTCTGAACTCTTTCATTTCACGTTGCTATGGTATTTTGAAAGTTTAATTGATTAATAAGTATAAGAGGTTGATAGCAAATTTATCAAGAATCATTTCTTGCCTACACACTTTCATGTATCGTGTACGTTTTTCTTTAAAACTGGATAAAACCGCGCATAGTATGCCGACAGATAAAATAAAAGTACTCCATTAATTATGACAATTTTTCCATACATTATTATCAAATAAAATATTTGATTGCAATTATAAAATGCTTGAACTAGGTGCCACGCATCTCGGACACGTGATGACGCGGGTGAAACCGCGAAATTATTAGGCGCTGCTTTATCGCTTCATATTATACCTCTGTGGCTCTATATACCTAATATAGATTGCTTTCTTTATTATGTTTAGTTTTTCCCGAGTGGTCATGCAGCGATCACTCAAGAGTTCGGCTTCGAACGTGTATAACTGCAAAAATTATCCAACGGGAACGAAATACCTGAATAAACGGTATCATATATGTTATTTACAGCTCCGTGGCGCAGTTGCTTAGCAATGAATTGTTGCACTGGCAGCCGCGGGTTCGAATCCCGCATGGAACAAGTATTTGTATGGCCTGCAAATAGTTGTTCCGGGTCTGGATGTTTGTAAACTGCCTCCACGATACAGGAGAAAATCCTAGTGTGGGGGTAACGTTTTTTTAAAAAATAAAAAAAATAATAAAATTCCAGACTATAACCTATCTCTGAGCAAAATATCATCCAGGTCCCTTCAGCGGTTCTGGTGTGATTGAGTAACATACATCCATTCATCCGTCCATCCAAATATCCAAACTTTCGCATTTATAATATTTAGATAATAGGTAATTGTAATTAGTTCTGCCTACCTATAAATTGTTTTCAAAAATACTTACCTGTCTTCTTACTTTTTTATATATACTCAATATCACTAAATGTAAACACAGGTTTTTATCAAGACAAGTGACCCATCAAGATTGTTTTCTTAGTACTGACGTACCTACCTAAAGTTTACAATTTTGTGGCCACGACGCGGTGACGTTTTGTGACATTTTGTTGTATTGTAGGTTGTAGGTATCTAGGTAATAACAGTAGGTACCTATGAAAATCCCACATAATGTACCTTGTTTGTCCGCCGCAAGAGTCGTCTAATAAATAATTAAACTATTTTGTAATTCTTTATTTATTTATAACACTTGCATTGAGAGCCGTGGTAGCTCAGATGGTTAGCGCTCGCCGTAAGTATCACATTACGCGAGCAACCCGGGTTCGATCCCCGTCGGCACCAATGAAATTGTTGCAATTTTATATAGTAATCGTATATAGACTTTACTTTGTCTACTTTTATAATTATATTATATTACAGACGAAAATTTTACAATATTGTCTGTCGTCCAAAACGCATCATTCATCTCTTTCAATTATATCAATTTCCATGCTGTCTTTTGTCTTTGGCGTCCAAATTACAAAATAGCAAAACTTTTCGTTTCGAATAAAACTCGAATAAGGGCGCGTCACCGCCCGTGCATGTGTGAGTAAGCGTCGTCCTCCCGCACCGCACCGGGGGAAACATTATTCAGTGAGATGCACGATAATTCATAGTAACATACGCGCGTAAAATAATACGAAAAGGCCTTTGGAAGAAGGGGTTTTATGAAAAAACCACTGCATAAATCAATTACGAATAAAATTTATTGAATTCTTCGATAATTGAGCTGTGTCGGTACCGACTTTGTTTTGGAAATTTTACACTTCTTTTATTACTAATTTACGCCCAAAGTTGTGTTAAAATTGGTAATAAAAACGAATCTTTGGTAGCCCGTAACTTTTTAATAACATTTTATTTTACTATTCTGTTTCCGTACAGACAAATTTAATAATGAGACAAAACGATATCATGTTTAACTTTGGATGTACACTGTCAAACAGCGTAGTAAAACCCCTCCGAAATTTGTATGGAAATATTGTCGACTAGTGTCACCTTAATAAGTTAAACGCACAGCTACACGTTCGCACTATTGACTGTCTGGATTCGCCTTTCGAATAACTCTAATATACTTTAGTATAGTTATGTAATTTTATTTTCTGGAAGATAGATTGTTATATACACTATACATTATTATTGATGTTTTTTATTGCTTTTGCACATAATATTTCCACGCTTTTTCGAATTTTTGTATCTAATTTTTAGAATGGCAATCTAAACCAACACGAAGGAAAGAAAAAGCGATATTTTTTCTCGCTTTATTTTTACAAGCTATTATATACTATAACAAACATTGACAAAATCATGATTGTGTACAGATTTCTCAGCTTTAATACAAAGCTGCATCACCCTGGTCAAATAACAACGACGCGTCCAAAATGGCTAAAACGTTGGTGCGTAACTGTCAAGTGTCAAAGGATGCACAATTACATTCACTAGCTTTTATTGACGAGTGCTGGCATCTTCACATTGAGGTCGGAACTTTTCAGACCACCCTAGTATACCCATTTCACTGACGCTATTTTATATCGATCGAGTCACAAACGAAAAAAAAACAGTTATTTAGTTTGTATTAAAAAAAAATATTCCGGAGTCAGGAAGTTGGCGGTGTATCACCCCCGTGCCTCGGAAAGCATGTAAAGCTGTTGGTCTTGCGCCTGATCTCTCTCCGGTCGCGTTGATTTGCCGTTCCATCAGACTATGAGAGTGAGGGAATAGAGGGTGCACCTGTGCTTGCGCATACACTTGGGCACTATTAATCCTGTGCTGCGCCGTTGACTAGTCTCCGTTGAGGCTGGCCGCGTTACCGAAATTCCGTCTGGAGGACATTGTCTTTCACAAAGTTTCAAAAAGTTTCGAACGTAAAATTAATAGATAATAGATTGATATTTTAAATATTTCCCTATATCGCACAGAGTTTTCGAGATAATGGCAAAAAATGAGTTTTTAATATTTTTTCTATAATCCAATTACTTACCCAAAGATCACTATTATCGGCATATAGATCGGCAGTTTTTATATAAGTTTTACTAATTTCGAACTCCAAAGTTCTAGAAATATCATGCTTTAAACTTAGATATTTCAAAACTAAGCTGAATTGATAAACGTCCATTACAGCCTATAAAAGTCCACTGATGAACACAGGCCTCCGCCGGAAATCGCCTCATAGGGGGGTTATTGTCATATGCCATGGTCTATGGAACCTTATATTAAAAAAAATGCATTTATAAGTCGCGGGCCGTAAGTCTAGCAGTGACCGTTATTGCGCATAAGTCGAAAATAAGGTATCATGGGGTAGTAAGTGGGGCGCGGGGTGGGCGTGCGTATCGTTCGCACGCGCTGCATGACTCTCCAGTCGTTCAATTCCGTCCCCCGTACTGAGACGTGATACGTGCGCGACAGTACCATGCGCAGATATCCCCTCCACGTTTCGGTCGGCGCTAGACTTATGTGCCGCGACTTGTACAATTCCTATCATTTGCATATTAAAAAAGGAGAAGCTAACGACTGATAAATGACAATTTGGCTAAGCTTTTTAGACATTCAATTCAAAGCCGGGGGTTGAGTAAATAGCTAGATGACCAAATGACCGGTCGACTTGACTTTTGTGCAGCGGCATATCCATTCAGAAGCACCGACACAATTTTCCACAGACCGGGGAAGGAGAGCAGTGTTATCGTATCATATATGTTATGTTAGTGTATCATGTAAAGCTGTTGGTCTTGCGCCTGATCTCTCTCCGGTCGCGTTGGTTTGCCGTTCCATCAGACTATGAGAGTGAGGGAATAGAGGGTGCGCCGTTGACTAGTCTCCGTTGAGGCTGGCCGCTGTGACCGAAATTCAGTCTGGAGGACATTGTCTTTCACGCAATGTATACACATTTACGTTTGTTACAGATAGCGCAAGATAACGGACGCCCAATGTTACTTGGCCGTCTAGTGTGCGACGACTCTGTGGGCATCGGCCAACGTGGACGCCTCAAGCATCTTCTTATACCTCATCTGAGAAACACCAGTTTGCTACTCTGGTTTATATGGTATAACATCAATACATGTCCATAATAGATAAAGATAGTAGGTAGATATAAATAAAATTAAAGTGTCTGTCTGTAATATCGAAATAACTGCCTTCTGTTACGCTCAGGGGTTAACGCATGAATAATGTTTGAATTTTTTGTATACCTACCTGTATGTATGTCCTCAGGGATTCTTTGGAATTCCTAAACCGATTGTAACGAAACTTTACATACAGACAAAGAGTAATCCTAGGAGTGATCTAGTCTATATTTATCCCAAAACATGGAGTTTTTTTTTTGCAATATCAAAAATATTGAATAATTAAATGTTTTAACCGACTTCAAAAAAGGGGAGGTTCTCAATGCGAGTGTATGTTTTTTGAATGTATGCTACGTGATATCTTGCAAATTCTGAACCAATTTTGATAATTCTTTTTTTATTAAACAGGTTATACTTCAAGGGTGGTCCCATATACATTTGGAGAAAAAAAATCACCCCTAAGGATAGCAAATAAATAACTTCTTTTTTAGCAATTTGAAGTTGGTTTTACTAAGTTGTTGAAAGTTATTAAATGAATATTTCAAAAATATAAGAAAGATAGAAAAAAAAGTTTCGAACGTAAAATTAATAGATAATAGATTGATATTTTAAATATTTCCCTATATCGTACAGAGTTTTCGAGATAATGGCAAAAAATGAGTTTTTAATATTTTATCTATAATCCAATTACTTACCCAAAGATCACTATTATCGGCATATAGATCGGCAGTTTTTATATAAGTTTTACTAATTTCGAACTCCAAAGTTCTAGAAATATCATGCTTTAAACTTAGATATTTCAAAACTAAGCTGAATTGATAAACGTCCATTACAGCCTATAAAAGTCCACTGATGAACACAGGCCTCCGCCGGAAATCGCCTCATAGGGGGGTTATTGTCATATGCCATGGTCTATGGAACCTTATATTAAAAAAATGCATTTATAAGTCGCGGGCCGTAAGTCTAGCAGTGACCGTTATTGCGCATAAGTCGAAAATAAGGTATCATGGGGTAGTAAGTGGGGCGCGGGGTGGGCGTGCGTATCGTTCGCACGCGCTGCATAGCTCTCCAGTCGTATTCCGTCCCCCGTACTGAGACGTGATACGTGCGCGACAGTACCATGCGCAGATATCCCCTCCACGTTTCGTTCAGCGCTAGACTTACGTGCCGCGACTTGTACAATTCCTATTATTTTCATATTAACAAAGGAGAAGCTAACGACTGATAAATAACGATTTGACTAAGCTTTTTAGACATTCAATTCAAAGCCGGGGGTTGAGTAAATACCTAGATGACCAAATGACCGGTCGACTTGACTTTCGTGCAGCGGCATATCCATTCAGAAGCTGTGTCGGTGCATTTTCTACAGACCGGGGAAGGAGAGCAGTGTTATCCTTATTTGCCTATTTTAAAGTAATATAATATATCTTTACATACTTCAAACTTTCTCGCTTAGAGCGCATTCAAACGAACTTCTTTTTTTTGTTATTTCTAGTATTAAATCAGTGCAGATCGTTGTTTTGTATTTTCAATAGATTTCAAAAAAGGCGAAGAATTCTCAATTCATCTGTATATATAATATTGTTACGGCAGCCAGTTGTGTGTTGCATCTTGTTGCACGAGAATGTTTCCGAAGATAAGGATCAATGTCCTCAGTTATTTGTGGCATTGCATTGCTCGCCCTACAAATAACAATACTTTTGTATGTTCGAACATAACTTGTTTACGAACTTATTTTAATGATTCTTCGATATACTAAATTTAGCTTCAGGGGAGGTGCCATATAAATTTTATAAAACATCACCATTAGGTAGAAAAATATGGGATGAATTTGTTAATATAACCTATTTAGACGACATTCTAGTTGTTACCTTGACTTAGTTATTCTTGGACATACTAATATCTTCGCACAAAGTTGAGTGTTGCCTTATAAATGATCGCTAATTTTCTTACCTTCAACATTTTTGTTTTGTACTAAAAGAATTTAAAAAGTTTTCACAACAATAAAAAAAATCTAATGAAATTTTAGAAGAATTATCCAATTCATTTTGATAATATGTTATAATGTTTAATTACTCGTATTTAAAAATAATATATTAATATTATTTTTCATGCTTTCTTAATACAGGAAAAATAAAGCGGTAAGTTATAATTTTAACACGTAACATTAAAAAGTTTGGTTTGCGTTTTCGAGACTTTCCAATAGCTCAGCTGAAAAATTGTTAATGGCCCATTTTTTTAGCGAAATATAATTTTATATTTATCTTTTGAAGACATTTATCACTTAAAAATTTTGATTTGCTAGACAGGAAGGATATGGCCCTGTGGTTGCGACGGGAATGAATATATCACTGCATTTCGTCCATGGGAAATACCAGTAAAATATATTACACCTTTTGATATGTGACGCTGTAAACATTTTGCTTACTCCAGGGGTAAAATACACACCTGGTTACGGGCAGCAGCGTCAAATGTGTGAGACGTCTGGTACTGCGATAGTCAATCCGCCACCTACCAAGCGTGATGATTAAAGCAAACCCTCCCTACTTTGGGAGGGTCTCATGTCCAGCTGTGAACTTTTGCGCGCCGACAAAGGCGGGATTAGTCAAAAGAAAAAAAATCATCCAATAACCTACTTACGTCACGTTACGTTCACTTTGGAAAATTTAAATCCGTGAATCAAGAGATAATGATATCATACTGACTTAATGATACAGCAATGATAACTATGATATCGGGACTTCATACACCTCAGTCCCCCTGTGACCTTGGTGCTGTAAAGCACCCGAAACGTCGGGAATTCAAAAATTAAATTAAATTCGATAGAATCCGTAAAAAATTGTTTCCTTAATTTGTAACCATTAAACCAATAATGGTTTGCATTGGTACCTACTCGAAATTAAAAGGGTGGTACCTACCCCAAAGGAATCGTAGACAGGAGTCCTACAATCTCGTCCTTTGTTACAGGATGTCATGCGCATTCTGCTACTATGGACTTGTACTGATGACAACAGAGCTTTTTGAAACCGATGCAGACGGTTCCGAGGAATCCTGCGCGGCGGACTGTCGTCCATTGCAGACCACAGATTATATGGACCTTCTTTGGACTACTTTAGCTGAGTTCCCTGGTACGTTGGTACATCTAAAATTCATAACAAAATTGTGTGTTAGTATAAAAAAACTCGTTTCGTTTAACTACGTAATATTTAGTATAATATACGGGCATCCTGCATTTACTTTTAAATATAAGTTGAGAGTGATTAGTGATTACCCAACTTCAGAGAAGCTTTTTCTCAACTATGATGTAATGATGAAAACATAATCTTACATTATTCCCTTTCCTGCTTAGTTTCAGCAGACCGTAGACAGTCCATCTCTATAAAAGGCCTTAATGTAAAGATTTCCTAAAATCACAATTTCAATCGGATTGGTTATAATATGAAAAATCGCAGTGATTATGGACTTGCTTTTTGCATCCATCGTATACGTATTAGATATTCACACAATAAAATAATTCGTTTTTTAAGTAAAACCCTTCCGTAAAACTGTATTCGGCTCCAATTCCTGTTGATTTAGAATTTGTAAAGTTATGAATGAGTTTGGTGGCATTATTGTTAATATTTGACTCCCTAATGCGATCGTCGCACCATCCAAATAATTAGGTATAAATTATTTTTATCGCTGTAAATTGTTAATTTACAAAGTAATTTATTTTTCAATTTCGTGTTTTTATTATTGGTGCATTGTATTGTTGTTGTATTTACCTGTAAGTGTTTGTTTAGGAAGGGAGTTTGAATTTGGTAAATCAAATAAATAAAACAATATATAAAATATCTTACACGTTTGTCGCTGATTCCCGTCGCCAGTGTAGGTATTTAAGGCATATGTATCGTCTAAATAAAAGCATATAATTATAAGAGAATATAAAGTATATCCTTTTGTATTTATTAAATGCCACAAGATCTTATCCCTAATTTTACTCTTATGGTGTTTTAATATATACTATACTCTCTTACACATTACCTTCTTTATTATTATTATTAAGATAAAATATATGTTGCAGGTTTATGATAAAACCTGGTCTTTGATCAAAAACCTAGGCATATCATCAAGAACTGAAAGAAAACAAAATCACCACTTTATGTTATATATTATAATAAACCTGAGAAAATCCATTTTTTTTTTGATAAAACCTAGACTGATTTAGTTTTAGGATAAAATCAATGTCGGTTTATATTTCTTTAAAAAATAATTAGATAAACAAATCTAACATACATTTTATCGTAAACATACACAATTCAGGTTTTTTATCAAAAAATTTTTTTAGGTTAATTATAAGATTAACAGTGGTAGAGCCACTCGGCAGCTTTTGCTGTCGCACGGATGGGCCGGCTCGAACTGGGGTAGTACCACGACCTCACAGAAAACCAGCGTGAAGTAGAGGTTTATCTCTGCGTTTCGCTTGGTGAGTGCAGGTGGCTGGAGTCCCTTTTTACTGGAAATGAGGCATTCCATCTAGTCCTCACGGGTGACAACGCATCTACATTTTGATTTGTAACAGAGGATAGATGTAGATGTCTATGGGCAGCAACAACCACTTACCATCAGGTGGACTGTGTGCTCGCTTGTCACCCTTATCCTATTAAAAAAAAAGATTAATTAATAATTTTGTCTTCTTATTTCTGATCTGAGCATAAACCTGCTACATAATATATAAGGCTCTCTTATAATAATATGTTTTTTTCTTCAGGTATCTTCGCAACAATTTTCATCATCGAGAAGTGCGGACGAAAAAGAACAATGGCGGCACAGTTTATTATTTTCGCCCTTTGTATCTGTATGCTGACTTATAACGGAAAGTGAGCACTTTAATATTATGTATGATCTCCAAGTTAGCGATCGCGTCTTCTTTCTCATTAAAGTTAATAGTTAAAGTTACAGCCTATATACGTCCCACTGCTGGACACAAGCCTACCCTCATTTCTGAGAAGGTTTTAGGGCAAGGTAGTGTCCGCTGCGCTGTCACAATGCGTGTTGGCGGACTTCACAAGTCTTCGAAATATTTTTTTAACTATTTCATTGGTGCGGACGGGCATCGACCCCGGGTCGCTCGCGTGCTGTGAAATTTACAGCGAGCGCTGACCCCCTGAGCTACCACGACTATGCTTACATCTAAAGTTAACGAGATATCTCGATCTATCGGAATCTTGGACTTTTATGGCATTTACGGCGTAAAGGGAAAGCGACTTGACTTTCAGTTACGCCATCACAAGGACAAAGCAGTAGACACAGTATTTTTGGAATATTTGTACTTTTGTATGTGGTAAAGCCCTGCGGCAGCTATATTAAATTGTATAGTTGTAGCACGAATGGGTCGGCTCAACCGGGGAAGGACCACGCACTCACAGAATACCAGCGGGAAATAGCAGCTTAACGCTTCTGTGTTTCGTATGGTGAGTGTGAGAGAACCGGAGACCCTTTTTACTAGAAAACAGGCATTCCATCTTAGTCCTCACGGGTGACAACGCATCTGCATTTTGATTCTCAAACTAGGATAGATGTATGCGTTACAGCTACCACTTACCATCGGGTGGACTTTGTACTCGCTTATCGCCCATATCCTATAAAAAAAACATCTAAAGCAAATATATCTTCTATTCGCAGTCGAACCTTTCTTACGTGTATACTATTCGTGGCGCGGGGTATCATCGCGGGACTATTTCAAGCGGCCTATGTTTACACACCAGAGGTAAGAGTTTACAAAATCTGTGGAAAGAAGTAAAATTAGAGTTTACATACTTCCCACTGCTATGGCCACGCTGAATACGGTCTGTAGTATACGGTCTGTAATATACAAAATTGTACCTGCTCAAGTTCAAAAACTTTATTAAACTAAGCTTGTTTAAAAAGGGCTATTATAATAATAAGCAATTTATGAATGATAACAACCCCTAGGAATGAGGTGATCGCTACCAAGCTATTTCTAATTTGTTTTGTGTTGCTAATTGTGTAACATACATGATTGTAAGCTGTAATTAAAAAAAACGTCCCGCTGGGTTTCTTGCTGGTTCTTTCTTACCAGGACAAAGGTTTTTTTTCGAACCAGTGGTAATGAAACAAAAGAGTGACCTTCAATAAGTATTATTTATAATCTATATTGAATAAAAAAAGTTTATATTAAGCAGTAGCGATATTCTCATTCCTAATAGGGCTGCTGAGCTAACGCATAAAAAAGACCGCCGGACTGCCCTATGTGTTAGTTTGTTTAATACCAGCCGCCAAATTACACGAACGCTCATCGCGACAAAACTCACGATACCATCCGCACCATCTTGGCGGTCCATCACTGTGCGTTTTACTAGGAGTTTTCTTCCTCGTACGACCCCTCTGTGGAGTTGTTTACCACAGGCGATTTTTCCGGACCGATACAACTTAAACATCCGTAGTGGCCTTGTAAATGTAATTGCATTAAAACTAGGTGAGGTTGCTTAGCGGTCAGAGTACTTAACTACCGAAGCACAGTTTCTAAGTTCGAATACCAGTTACGGGCAATCAAAAAAATTTAATAAAAATTGATGTTCGACTTCAAATAACTAAAAGAATAAAATAATTTCACATTCTGAAATCGGTGCTAAGAATAAAATCCCCAAGAAATTAATTATATTGGTTATATTTTGATGCCTTTGAGTGAATTAAGGAATATCATAATCTCTATAAATAGTTATATTAAAAACTTTATTGACTATTTTTTACCTTTAGGGGTGGATTTAAGATCGAAGATAGTGTCGGTACATCCGTAGGGGCACTTATTATTTTGCTTTTACTTTATAATTTTATATTCTTTTAATTAAAAAATGTTTTTCAAAGTAAAATCGATCAATAAAAATTCTTATCAATAAATAATAATCACAAGTTAGGTAGCAAAGAACCTTTCACTATGGCGCTTTTTCGTTTTTAAATGCCAAATTCTCCTGCGGGTGTACGCCGCACCCGACGACCTTTGATGTCACGTCGTTGCCTTTGACAAGATGCGGCACTTACAAAGGCGGCGCGACACAAAAGCGACCGTATCTAAGCGAACAGACTATACCTCCGTATTTTGTGCCTGACATTGTTGTGTTTTCTGCGCAGCTGATGGTTTCCATTCAGGACAAGACACTTTCTAGCAATAAAAGTAAGTTGCTTATTTTAAATTTTCAGGTTTATCCGACAGCCCTCAGAGCGACAGCAGTCGGTGCTTGCAGTGGCGTAGCGAGACTTGGTGCTATGATTACGCCATACGTTGCGCAGGTTTGTTTTAGCCAAATTGCTTGTTTATCTAGAATAACAGTCAGTAATACATTTCAATTAACATTAACAGCATATACAAGCCTCGTTATCTCGACATCTCTTTTCTGAGAAGGTTGTATCCGAATGTTTTATTTCCCACACATGCTGGTTTCCTCACGATGTGTTCTTTCACCGCGAACACGTCTTAAATCAACACTTAAACTTATAATTAACAATTTCACAGGTAGCCCCTGCAATTAACCGGTAGCGAAGCTCCTATACAAGCTGAGAAGCCCGGATTGCCCTATTATTAACATGAACTAATAAAATAACTCGTAAACTGTTTCAAAGCGCTCCTATGTTCTACACAGGTCGTGACCTCATAGCTTTATTATGTAACGTCAACACTTTGCATTGCTTTACTGCGCGATACCGCTGTCATAAAAAAGTAGTTGAGTTGAGCGATTAGTCGTCTCTCTCGCACGCGTGGGTTTTTACCGGGCTTTCGAGAAGACGATCGCTCCTTTTCTAACCTGTGGCAAAATGTTCTATAATGAAATATAACTACGATTGTTTATATGGCAATCAGTATGGAGATCAGAAGCCAGGCTATCAGTGTGAAGTTGACGAGCGTGGGGGCGTGCGTTTACAAAGTTCACTTCACAACTTCACATCCCAATATTTACTCTGTGTGTACACTTGAGCGAATGAAATTCGCAATATTGAGTTGGAAATTTATACTTTTTTATAGATTTTTAGTGAAAATGGAGGATAATAGTGTTCTTGTGATGAATTGAAGTGTGTTAAACTGCTAATCGACGAGGAAAAGGTAAAATCGAAAAAGAGAAAAGGTACATTTTTATAAAACTACTAAAAACAACAAAAACATATCTTGGGCTTGCTCTAGTTTGGAGCCCTACCTTCGCCACTGCAATTAACATAATACAAACACACGTCGGTCATCCTAAGAGGCAGGCAGAGACTATGGACTTCCATTTGGCACAATCCTGACCCCTCCTTCAGATTCATATACCTACGCTATAAATACAAATAAAAATGTCGCTTCTTATCACCAAATTAAAGAATTTGATTTGGCGATAGAGAGATTTTCTGTAGATTCGGCATTCCCACCTAGATCACTAAAGCTTCGTCTGACACCTATTAGAGAAGTAGCAAGTTTGTGAAGATGACATTTTGAGAAAAGTTAGCATATTTTAAGAAACGTTAAAAATGAGACTTCAACATCGGATCAAGAATATTAAAATACGTAATAAAACAAAAATCATTCATTGCTTTCACGAGTGCATAGAAATGAGCGGGAGACGAAATTAGAACCAGACAATGGTGGCCTTGTGAAGTTAAAAAGAAAACTACATGTTTCCCGCTACTACTACCACGACGCGTTTTCTGCAATCATCATCATCATCATTACAGCCTTTCACAAGTCCACTGCTGAACATAGGCCTCCCCCAAGGAATGTCACAAAGCACGGTCCTGAGCCACCTGCATCCATCGACTTCCTGCATGTCTTACCAGGTCGTCACTCCATCTCGTGGGGGGTCGCCCTACACTCCGCCTACCGGTACGAGGCTGCCACTCGAGAACCTTTCTTTCTTTCTGCAATAGATAAGGACAAATGACACGAAATGGAGGAGCCCTTCGTCCAGCAGTGGATGGATAGAGGATGTAATCTCTTTACATATTTAACACACACATACATAGGTTACAGATATTAAACAAGTGGAAAATTTTAAATTTTGTACAACCGACTTCAATATAAATAAAATGAGAACATCATCAACGTAGTCGAAGTCAATTAAATACGCATTATTAAGGATAACTCCAAAACTACTGGTCAGACCGTGTACAAATTTATATGAGACCATATGAGAAGCACTAGCTTTCAAATAAAAAAAGTATCATCAAAATCGGTTCACCTACAAAAAGTTCTGAGGTAACACACAAAAAAATTTAAAAACAGTGGAATTGAGAACGTTATCCTTTTTTTTGAAGTCGGTTGAAAAGTGGTTAAATGGTTTTTATTTATATATTCATGGTAATGGGAAATAAAATGAATCGCGCTAAATTAATATTGTAAAAAATATGGCAATTTATTTCTAAATTTCAACTTTATGACTTTCAACTGATTGGTCGGAAATCTATTTCAAGATATGTCGAACACCGATTCCACAGACTTGATTGGGAAATACAAGTGTGAAACTCAAAAATTCCGAAATTAAATTCTATAGTCCGATAATGGGCATTAAGTCCGCCCTTCGTATATATATGTAATAAAGATTAAATAAATAAAAAAAGTAAGTGATTAGGAAGCGATATTACAAGAGCGACGTATAGTATCTACGATCCCCAAACCAGAAAAGCCTATATGGACAGTTGTTTCCGAAAAAATTGTGAGGAGTCGAAACTAAGCGAGATTAGTTTGTGCAGATTATCTTTTAAAACAATTACATGATTGTGTAGAAACTTCTAATAATATTCTATTTGAAAACAAAAACAGCATCTTTCATCTTCTAACCATCATTCACTTTAATTCCGTAATCAAATTGGGGTGGTGTAGGAAACCAAACCATTTGATGCCGGTGTCATCAACAAGTGTAAGTCAGATGTAAACTAGAAAGAGAGCTGCAGAGAGCAGCACAAAGGTGCGTGGCCTCAGGTACTGCGAGCGACAATCCACCTGCCAATCATGCTGATTATTGCACATCCTCCTTATTGGGACCACATCTAGCGGTGGAACATTACGGGCTGATAATGATAACGATTAAGATCCATTTATCCATCCATTACAGCCTATAAAAGTCCACTGTTGAACATAGTCCTCCCTTATAAATTGCCTCGTTTTTTTATAGGATAGGGTGACAAACGAGCACACAGTCCATATAATGGTAAGTGGTTGCTGTGACCCACAGACATCTACTACAATAAAAATACATAAACTATAATAAAGAATCGAAATGCAAATGCGTTGTCATTCGTGAGGACTAAGATGGAATGCTTCTTTTCCAGTAAAAAGGGTCTCCGGTTCTCTACACACACCATACGAAACACAGCAGCGTTAAGCTGCTATTTTACGCTGGTATTCTTTGATAGCGTGGTCTTTCCCCGGTCGAGCCGACCATGAAGCAAATACAAAGAGGAGACGTTGTAATTAAATTTCACTATGTAACAACGCGTGACAATTTGCGGGGTGAGGGGATGCAAAGCCCCGCCCACTACACTATCTACATCTACCGATAAATAGTAAAACTACTCGAATCTTTCTATATCGATGTTGCAATGTAGCTTAGCTACCTTGACGGTAGATGGCGGCATGTCCACAAAATGTTATAAACTATAAAAATAATATTTTGGCGATTCAAATTTCTTTATGTCTGAATGCAAAACAAATTTCAGCACCTTCGTATGATTATTTTATCATTACTGAGCTCTACGTACCTTTATATTTTTAGTTCACAGGACACAAAGTGTCGCCATCTAGTGTGGAATATATTTAATTATATTTGAAAGCCTAGAACTATTTTAATAAATTAGGTGTAAAATTACTTACAACTGAAATGTGATGCCATCCATAGCATCGGAGCGTCTATCTCATGAAACAAATACATTCAGACAAAGAAATTTTAATTGCCAAAATAATATTTTTATAGTTTTCATAATAATTTTGGGAACAGGCCGCCATCTATCGTCAAGTAAACCTCATAAGAAATAAGAAAACGACAGGGCCGCAATTATAATTCAATTATTTTACCCAATAACCCAACATTCAATATTAAAATGAAGGAAATTGTACTAGGCTGATTTTTACGAAATGTTTAAGTTATATTTAAGTGACATTCTATATGCAAAGAATCACTTAAATACAATTTAAATATGTTTATCATTTCGTGAAAGTCAACCTTCAAGAAATATTTATTTTATCCATAAAATAAAGTCTCTTTGAAACTAAATATTCTATGTTCAATATTAAGTAGGATATTTAATTTGGAACTAAATATCCTACTTATCTCACTAATATTATAAAGGCGAAATTTTGTGTGTTCTTTCTGTCTCTTTGAGCTTATTCCACACTAAGTATGTGTAATTTTTTCACGCAGAAACGGCTGGACTATTATTTATGTGTGGGTTATACTACTTAATATCTCTGAGGGAGAACAAGTAATAGACAAATTATTATAATTAATATAATTTTATTTACAAATCAATTAAAATATAAATATTTTATTCCAAATTAGGCATCCGAATTCACTTTTTGAATGCCAATCTAAGAACATTAATTTGTATTTAAGTGATTCTTTGCATATAGAATGTCAGTTAAATATAATTTAAACATTTCGTAAAAATCGTCCTAAGTACAATTTCCTGCATTTAATATTAAAAGTTGGATTACTGGCAAAAATAATTGAATTCTAATTAGGGCCCTGTCTTTTTGTCATTTTTATGAGGTTTACTTGACGAGAATACGGCCTGTTCTCAAAATGATTATAAACTATAAAAATAATATTTTGCGATTAAAATTTCTCTATGTCTGAATGCAAAACAAATTTCAGCACCTTCGTATGATTATTTAACCAATACTGAGCTCTACGGACCTTTATATTTTTAGTTCACATGACACAAAGTGTCGCCATCTAGTATCGAATATATTTAATTATAATTGAAAGCCGACGCAAAGAGATTTTTCTAGAACTATTTTAATAAATTAGGTGTAAAAATATTTACAAATGAAATGTGATGCCATCCATAACATCAGAGCGTCTATCTGAGTAGTTTTTACACAATAAAACACAACACTTCATCCTTTTCTTCTTAATACTACGAAAATACACCGATTTGCGATTTTTTCAACACATAAGCGCACAGGACGAATGCTGACAGTATACTAACTAAAGCCACGCCCACTATGATGATGTCAGGACCTACTTAGAATCACAGTGCACAGTTGCTTATGCCGTCTCCCCTTTGTATTAGCTTCATGGAGCCGACCCATTCGTGCTACAACTATACTACTAATATAGCTGCATCATGTCTCTACCACGTGTAAAACAGGTAAGAGTTTAGAGGTAGGAGGTTTTATACGTGGTAGAGCCATGCTGTAGATATATTAGTATAGTTATAGCACGAATTGGTATACCTCATGGTTTTGGTTTTGCCATAGCTCCCATGCTATGCAAGCGAGTTGGAAACCGCAGTTTTTTATTTTCTGCCGACTTTCAAAAAGGAGACGGTACTCAATTCGACTGTATGTTTGTTTTTTCATGTGTGTTACCTCATAACTTTTTACTGGTTGAACCGATTTCGATGATTCTTTTTTATTTGAAAGCTGATACTTCTCGTGTGGTCGCATACGAGTTTGATCAAGGTCAAACCAATAGTTTTTGAGTTATTATTAATAACTTATATTGAACTCGGCTGTACAAAGTTTTTAATTTTTAATTATTTTAAGTTGTTATCAGGAAGATGCTGCTGCCCATCTCCTCCCTTTTCCCATTCCCATTTTCCCTCTGTCGCCTCTTACGACACACTCGAGGCGATATGACCTAGTAGATATTCACATATAATATCCACCGCCACTACACGGTGAAGGTACGTAATATCATTTCATGTTTCCAGGTTCTATTGAAAAGCTCGATCGTTATAGCAACGGGGGTGTATTCTTTAGCGGCAGTGTTAGCAGCCGTCGCCTGTCTAGCACTGCCAATAGAAACCAAAGGCAGGGAAATGAGGGACACCGTCACCGGCACTACATAACATGGAAAATATATGCACTTGAAGTTGATGTATTAATCTATATATCATTATAAGGCCTTATTCATACACAATATGAATTGAAAATATTTAGAAATGTATAAAATAACTTTCGAACAATTCACTGACGTGTAGCACTTTTTTGCCGTCATACAAATAAATGGCGGCACTCTTATTTTTATACACAAAGTATACCTAGTATCATGTTTAGCTAAATATCCATCAAATGTGCTCACTTTTTATGGATGATGGTATCTATATAATATATGGGGCATGGATGAGTCGGACAAATCATTAAATGACGAAATCAAGGGCATAAATATAGTTGACAAAAATGATTGCGTCTAGAAATAACTTATATATTAAATGAGTTTAACTATTTTACTATGATTCGCAAACAAATATGTATTTTAATTAAAGCGACAGAAAAAAACATATATTTTTGTGAATATCAAATGACTTTAATCATTTTACACTGTTCAAGTGTTGCCATTTACTATATTCATACTATTTTCGTATACACTTTGTAAGACTACCAACACAACACACAAACACGATATATTTTTATTGGAAGTTATTATCAGTAATAACTATACTATCAGTAATAACAAAAATAATAGTGATATGGTTGAATATAAGTCTCTTACAAAGAACTTCCTGCAATAATACATAATCTCAATCATAGTACTATGTAACAATTCCATTTAATGTCATAGCAACACTAGCTAAAACGAAATGTCACTGTATGGCACAAAGGCCCAGAAGCCATGCCAGAAATATACATTTATGGTACGCAAATATTTAATTGAGATACAATAATCTAAAAACTCAATTATGTAAGTAGGTACATTATGTTGAGAATGACTTTTTCCAAGCCAATTGACATAAGACATAACCTAAAAAGGTTCAAATCTAAATATCTTTTTTGACGCCTTCTCAGGACAAAATTCTTTGACAAAGTTACTTAGGGACTGACGCTTAACATTTTAAGATATTTTTGATATATAGACGCTACCATTTCTTCTCAACTAATTTTATGTATGAAAGTCTGCCATTGTTATTTAGGCTTCGGTATAAATAATAAATGTAAGTAGTAGCACCGTCTTGAATAAAAAGTGGGGAAAATAGTGCTTTCAACGACTGTAGATGGCACTAGTATCAACGTAAAATACTTTGAATATTTTAATTTATTTATGGTTAACGATTTCATCAATATAATGTACGCGGCTGTGAATTGGCCCAAGGGCCACCCCAGCCGCACCTCAACCTACTGTTACTGATATTGCAAGATTGGATTGGTTCGATTAGTAGACGAATAAAATATATTAATCGTTCGATTAGCAGACGACTAGACACTCCGATGTTTTATACAAGTAAGGCTAGTTAAACGAACGCACATATAACAGTGGTAGAGCCACGCGGCAGCTTTTGCTGTCGCACGGATGGGCCGGCTCGAACCGAGGTGGTACCATGACCTCACAGAAAACCAGCGTGAAGTAGAGGTTTACCTCTGCGTTTCGCTTGGTGAGTGCAGGTGGCAGGAGGCCCTTTTTACTGGAAATGAGGCATTCCATCTTAGTCCTCACGGGTGACAACGCATCTACATTTTGATTTCTAATAGAGAATAGATGTAGATGTCTATGGGCCGCAGCAACCACTTACCATCAGGTGGAATGTGTGCTCGTTTGTCACCCCTATCCTAAAAAAAAACATTAAATGAGGTTTAGTGACTGCTGTGGCCCGTTGACATCCATCTATCTACATCTGTCTAAGTATCAAAATGCAAATGTGTATATCCCTGAGAGCTAAGATAGAATACTTGTTACCATTAAAGTGAGTCACTAGTTCGTGAAATACAGTGACATTATGCTACTCATTCGTGCTACTGTACAAGTCGTCAGTGCACCACTCACATTCAGACACATATATTTGTATTGTTGTTGTGTTAAAAATAACTCGTTACGTGGTAGAGCCACGCTGCAGCTGTATTATGGTTGTAGCACGAATATGTCGGCTCGACCGGGGTATATCCATACGAAATATAGCGGCTTAATGCTGCTTACATTTCGCTAAATAAATACCATTAACATGTTTTGTATTTTCGATGTTATAACTGAACAAAATTAAAATGAGTGGTGAATGTGAATAAGGCCTTTTGAGTACATATTGTCAAATAATTATCGCTTGTTTATAAAAAAAAAATACATTTTTAATATTTTTATATTATTCATAAAGTCGAACAATTATCGTATAAATGTTATATGTAAATTATTACACGTTTTAAAATAAGCAAAGGCACTCACACCGATGTATAAGATTTGCTTCTTTTTTTGTTCTTATTATTTAATTAGCTTACGTTTTATAAAAAAAATAGCACAATAGATAATTGCTTACTTGCATTAATGTAATTGAAGACTGGTATATTCTAATGTTCCGTCCATTACCTCAATACTCGTAATTATTATAAAACATAAGTATTTTCAAGATCTCTTGTCTCATTTACATAATTAGTTTTATTAGAAACAAAAAATATTGCTTGTACTTAAATGTTTTTACAACTTTATGTAGTCAAAAAATACATTTCAAATTAATTATTTTGTTTCTACATCTAAACACGCTAACAAGTTATGTTCGCTTATCTGACACTATACTCTATATCGTATATCGCTAATTTGTCTATATAGAAACTCGATGAAGATTATTATTAAGTATTTTGTCTTTCAATTAACAGCCTAGCATTTTTACTAAACGATGCCATCTCGTAGAATGATATTAATAAGGTGAGGTACCACGTAATGTCGCTAGTCTGTGCCTAATTATTCGCTATGTGCTATTTTTATAAATTTATGCGGTTTTAGGGTGGTCCAAGTGTCACCCCAGTCGCACCATAACCTACTGTCGCTTTATTACAAAATAGGTGCAATACTGTATCATGAACATCATTCAGGCCGCTAGTTGAACGGCGCCGTTTAATAAAAAGACTAGGCTGTTAATTGAACGGCTAATTAAGCTAGTTGGCTGCGACATATACAACACTAATAATTAGTAATTCAATGTAAAATCCGTATTAAAAAGGTCTGTGCACTTTAAATTTCATATCACACTATCAACCTGAACTTGATACCCATCGGTATCACTGTAAAACTCTCACTGCCAGTGTTGCTCAGGGCTCAACATCGTAAAATATTTAGAATCCGTGAATCCGCTAGTTTAGCTCCTACTTTTCCATTCGCAGTGGATGAGCGCGGTAGACGATGGTCTCTTTCCTGCTCTATAAACCCTTTTAGAAGTGATTACATTAGGCCCCTACCCTTATATTACGTCTCACTTCTCCTCAGGTTAGAAAATGTATTTCCAAGATTCGTATGTTAATCAAGATTAAATATTCATGTCTCTACTTTGAATAATTATTATTTTGTACTACAAATATACACTATGTACATTTCACACACTTTGGTACTAAGATTTAAATGTTACATATAGTTGCGATGAATATATATATATTTTTAATGTCAGTATTAATAGCTTTGTTCATTAAGATTTGCAGCAACTTTTGTTTTCAAGGTGACGCATTATTTTATATAATACTAGATGGTACCCGGCGCGATGCAGCCGCAGAAGAAATAATTGTGGAAATAACGTTTAAAATTTGTAAGTTATATTGTTTAATTAGGAATGATAAATAAATAGGATTACCATACATAATTTTCAAATAAATTTGTCAGTATGATACGCGCGCCACCTACGGTTAGTTATTTGTACTATGTCTATAATCTTCGCGGAAGTGCAAGCAATATGTCGACCAAGTTTTACCGCAATCTGATGAACGGTATGGCTGTGCACAAAATACGAACAAACGAGAATTAATTTTTATTTATTAGATTTTAGATATATATTTTTGTATTCATAATTGTTCCCTTATGTCAGTGTCACTAGCACTTTTTAAAGATATTTCATAAGTACATATTTATATGAAAAGTTTCGTTGTTGACTACAAGTAATTATGTAAATTATTTTTTGTGATAATGCAGCTAAGTACTTATTAAACGATTAAATTTACTCTTATTGCATAAATATTTAATTTGGAATTATTTTTATATATCATGTCCCTTTAGTCTTAAAGATATAATGTGTGCGGGCATAATCAATATGATTTGTTTTTCTTTTGAAAACAAGTGTATAAAAGACGTAATTTTTATAGAACATAATTAAATATCGTAAGTCAATCGCCTGCGTCGATTATTAGTTTCTATTAAAGTTCTATTGTTCTTTTGATTATTGTGTTTCTGTAGCTTACTTTTAAACTCATAACATAATGTACACGCTGTAAAATACGAATATACTAATATTATTTATTATATATATATTATAATATGATTTAGCACTTACTCGGCGGCGAAGAAATACATCGTAAGAAAACCTGAATCCTTGAGAATTCAAAAATACACAGAGAACATATATATAAGTCCGCCAACTTGCATAGGGGTAGTGTGATGTAGTTTTCTCTCTGAGAAAAAACCATTTCAGAAATTATAGGCCTGCGCTCAGCTGTGAATCGTTCATAAATATTACTGTACTCTTATGAGTGGGACGCATGTATGGCATTTACTACTTTACGTGTAATTAATATGTAAAAAGCCTTGATTTTAAGGGCACTGTGACTTGCATTACGTTATATTGATTCTGTCTTCACTTATCTACTGTGATCAAATTTTATTAACACCAAATTAGATAATATTACGTTTTTGAGTTTTATATTGGACATTTTAATATTTTGTTAAGTTTTTTACACTAATTTATACAATAAATGCACTTCATATATCTGATGCGTTTTTTTTTCAAACAATTTGTACCTTGTGTGCTCGTTTATCACCCTTATTCTACAAAAAAAATACAGTCCATCTGATGGTAAGTGGATTTTGTGACCCATAGACATTTACATCTATCCTCGATTAAGAATGCGTTGTCACCCGTGAGGACTAAAATGGAATGTCTCGTTTCGA